TTTCCTAACAGGTAGTCTGTTAATGGACTTGTTGAAAGAAGAGATTTCGCTCGATTACAGGATGGCTTCAAATTAAACATGTAAGTTAAAAATAACAGCAAATGATTATGATAATAATTGCTTAAATGGCGACATTTTCAATGTAATGTCTCATCCATAAATATATATACACTTACCATTTTCGATAAATAATTAACACTTTACTTGACAGGCACCCTGTAAATGGACTTTTTGCAATGACAACCAATATGTGTATGAATAAATGTATCAAATAAAAATAAATGTAAATAAATAAATATAATAGTAAATGAATAAATGTATCTTGAAGAGTTTGTAGTACTTTCTTCTTAGAAACGAATCAAAAGAAGAATGGACACCATCGAACAGACGCCAGTGATCGTTTGATTGCGTGTAGTATGGCCGCTTCTCGCTCAGCGATGACCTCCTCGATGTCGGGTCTCGCACGAGCGGGGAGACAAAGCTTGTAGCTCGTAAATCGACGATGTAGACATTTAGAACCATTGAACGAGGCTAATTGCGATAACGGCTTGATAGGATTAACAGGTGGAACGTAGGGTGTACCGCAATGCGTGATACGAGCGCGAAGCGTGTGGCTCTGCGTGTGAAAATAAATTGGAAACGTCGAATAACTGTCTCATTTGCACCGTACTTGGTTTTCGAGGAGATACGATTTGAGGACCAACAGGTATACAGGGTGTGCAAAATGTTACAAAGCTTCTTAGAAACTTATTGTATAAATAAAATATTGCACTGTGGAAATTGTGCTTCAGAATCATCTCAGCTACCCTTTCCTCTAATTCCAGTTCTTACACTAATTCTGAGACACAGTGCAATATTTTATTTATACAATAAGTTTCTAAGAATTCCGCTTTGTAACATTTTGCACACCATGTATTTACTTTTCTGTAAATAAAATCCTTATCAATACAGCTATGATTTCGTAATAATACTAAAATATCTCTTAAACTAATTTTTAGGAACAAGTACATTGCTACGTGTTTGTAAATAATGTCCTCATCGATTGATATAATGAAAAATATATGATCCAGAAATAAATGACACTATCTTTTCTATCTTTCTATTTCTATATCATCTGTCTATCCCACATTCTCTATCCATCTATTCTATCTATTCATATTCGTTGTCCTGCACACAAATACTATCCCG